ATAGAATTTTTTTAAGTGCAGTTTTAGATTTACAGCCAAAGTGAACAAAGTTTAGAGAATTCCCACATACCTCCCTCTCCACAAGCTCACCTTCCCCCACTATCAACATCCCAAACTACAGTGATTAAGTTGTTGTTAAATTGACGAATCTACACTGTCAATCAAAGTCCATTTTACATGAGGGTTTATGCTTGCTGTTGTACATTCTGTGGGTTTGGACAAATGTGTAATGATGCATATCTCTCACTATAGTATATCATATAAAGTGGTTTCATTGCCCTAGAAATCTTGTGTTCTACCTGTTCATCCCTTCTTCTCCCCAACCCCTGGCAATAACTGATCCTTTTACTGTCTCCATAGATTTGCCTTTTCCAGAAGTTTATATATTTGGAATCATACAGTTTATAGGCTTTTCAATTGGCTTCTTCCACTTAGTGATATGCATCTAAATTTCCTTCATGTTCTTCCATGGCTTGATAGCTAATTTCTTTTAGCTCTGAATAATATTCCATTGTCTGAATGTACCACAGTTTATTTATCCACTCACCTACTGAATGACATTTTGGTTGCTTCCAAATTTTAGCAGTTATGAATAAAACTGCTATAAACATCACTGTGCCAGTTTCTCTGTGAACATAAGTTTTCAATTCATTTGGGTAAATACCAAGGAGTGCAATTGCTAGTCAGAGTAATTGCTGGGTAAGAGTATGGTTAGTCTTTACTTTAAAAAACCTGTCAAAGTGTCTTCCAAAGTGTTTGCACTGTTTTGCATCCCACCAGCAATCAATGAGTTTCTGCTGCTCTACATCCTCACCAGCATTTGGTATTTTGAATTTTCACCATCCCAGTAAGTGTGTAGTGGTATTTCATTGTTGTTTAATTTGCCATTCCTTGATGACATATAATGTTATCTTTTCATATGCTTGGTTGCCATCTGTATATCTTCTTCTGTGAAGTGTCAGTTCATGTGTTTTGCCCATTTTTAAGTGGATTGTGTGTGTGTGTGTGTGTGTGTGTGTGTGTGTGTGTGTATGTGTTGAGTTTTAAGAGGGTTTTTCTGGGTCTGTATATTTTGGAGACCAGTCCTTTATTAAACGTGACCTTCGCAACTATTTCTCTCATTCTGAATCACTACTTTTTATGTCATCTACCTTAAAAGTTCAAGGATTATGTTTTTAAATCTCTTTTTCTTTTGGACATCTGAGAGTCCTGACTTTTATTTATTTCAGACTAAATTCAAAGCAACTACTAGTTTTTGAATGGCAGAGAGCAAAAGTGGTCAAACAAATGGTACTTAGTATGCTCCCTTTACAAACATTTTGAAACACAGGTTGCCTTGTCTACTGCCATACTACCCTGAACGCGCCCGATCTTGTCTGAAACACAGGTTGCCTTATGTGTTGTGTTTTCTAGCAAGCTGAATAAAGGCTTATCATCTTAAGCACAAAGCTTTCTATTTGAATTCTTTTGGATGAACGTGTTTATAAAATAGGTTACTGTTTTACCTGACTACTTACACATCAAATATTGAATATAACTGAACCTCTTTGTTATGACTTTAAATCATAAGGTAAAAGAATATGCTAAAAAAAAAAACAAGAATAAGATGCTATGAAAGAAGAATCAGAGAATAAGAAGAATCTTCTGGAAATCAAAAATTTTATCATCTAAATAAATTCTGCTCAAAAATAAGGCCAAGGAAATTGCCCAGATTATAGAACAAAAGAGACAAAGGAATGGAACAGTGTTGGAAAAAGCCTTTAAAAGTCAATCCAGAATATCCCTTATCCAATTAATACGTATTTATGAAAATGAACCAGAGAAAATAGGAAAATAATTTACCAAAGAAATAATAAAAGAAGTTTTCCAAAAAGGATAACATGAGAATTTCTAGCTTGACAATGGTTAGGCAGTGAATTGAAAATGACCCACACCAAAAAAGAAATTGTGTAATTTTAGAACCCTAGAGTTAAAAATGAGATCCTAAAAGTTTCCTGGGAAGAAAAATTACACTACATGTGGAGGATCAGGAATAAGAAGGTAATGTTATACCTTTTTAGGCTATCAAGCTTAAAGTAGAATAAAGACAGTTTCAGACATACAAATTCTCAACATTTATATCCTATACACCTTTACTCAAGATAATGTGTGCTATCAAAACAAGAGAGGGACCCGAAAAGAGAAAGACTCAGTTTCTAGGGGATCCAATGCAGGAAAATGTCAAAAGGAAATCCCAGAAAAACCATCTATTGCAGGTGTAAGAGTCAGCCTCTGCAGCAGAACAGGAGGATAGTGGCTCCAAGAGGGAAGCAAGAGATGAGTGAGTAGAAAGGACACAAAATTTGATGTATTTGATGGCATGGGAAGTGATAGGAGATGTTCGAGTGTTTTGATTATTAACAATAGGTATGTTGAAAAGTAACCCAATAAAAATGGGGTGGCTATTCATTTCAAAAAATGTACGGAAATGTAAAAGTAACCGTGGTATTTTTGGCTCTACAGTAAACCATTTTTACCTAGTCCTAATAATGTAATCACTAAATATTGATCCAACTGTAGGGAAGGATAGTTTAAACAGCGTATAAGACAGCTCAGTTCTCATCTACCTTAATGGAAGTGAATAGTTAATGCCTAACACACATATCATGAAACAATGATGAATTATTTAGAAACATGAAAGTAAATATCAGAAGAAACAGCTAAAATAATTAAGGTTGTTTCCTCTAGGGCAAGGGTGTCCAATTTTTTGGCTTCCCTGGGCCACAGTGGAAGAATTGCCTTGGGCCACACATAAAATACACTAACACTAATGATAGCTGATGAGCTTTAAAAAAACATAATGTTTTAAGAAAATTTACGAATTTATGTTTGGCTGCATTCAAAGCTATCCCGGCCCACAGACAGAAAAGTAGAGAGGTGGTTGCCAGGGGCTGCGGGCAGGAGAGATGTGGAGTTCCTCTTTAATGGGAATGAAGTTTCAATTGGGGAAGATGAAAACTTTCTGGAGATGGTTGGTGATGATGATTGTACAACAATGAGAATGTATTTAATGACACTGAACTGTACACTTAAAAGTGGTTAAAATGATGGCTGGGCATGGTGGCTCACATCTGTCATCTCAGCACTTTGGGAGGCCAAGGCGGGTGGATCACCTGAGGTCAGGAGTTCAAGACCAGCCTGGCCAACATGGCGAAACCCTGTCTCTACTAAAAATACAAAAATTAGCTGGGCGCGGTGGCAAGCACCTGTAATCCCAGCTACTTCAGAGACTGAGGCAGGAGAATTGCTTGCACCTGGGAGACGGAGGTTGCAGTGAGCCGAGATCGCACCAGTGCACTCCAGCAAGGAGTGGCCTGTCACACAAGAGCAAGGCTTGACACACACACACACACACACACACACACACGATTAAAATGGGCCAGGTGTGGTGGCTCACACCTGTAATCCCAGCACTTTGAAAGACCAAGGTAAGAAGATCGCTTGAGGCCAGGAGTTTGAGACCAGCTTGGCCAACACTGTGAGACCCCATCTCTATAAAAAAGTATAGAAATCAGCCAGATTAGTTTTATCTAAGTGATAGTGTGCACCCATAGTCCCAGCTACTCGGGAGGCTGAGGCAGAAGGATCACCTGACCCTGGGGAGGGCAAGGCTGCCATACGAACTAATCACACCACTGTCTCAAAAAAAATTAAAAAAGAAAAAACTGGTTAAAATTGTAAATTTTACATTACATATATTTCACCACAACAAAAAGCAACTTAGAAAAAAATTTAGTATTATTTTCAAGTAATTATATACGTTTTAATTTTATTACATTAATTTTAATTTTATTACAACATTAATTTTCAAGCATGAATGCTTGAAAAGTGTTTTTTGGTTTGTTTGTATTTCACTTTTTGTTTTCAGACAGAGTCTCACTCTGTCACCCAGGCTGGAGGGCAGTGGCAAGATCTTGGCTCACTGCAACTTCCGACTTCCAGGTTCAAGTGATTCTCATGGCTCAGCCTCTCAAATAGCTGGGATTACAGATGCGTGGTACTATCACTGGCTGATTTTTGTATTTTTTGTAGAGATGCAGTTTTACCATGTTGGCCAGGCTGGTCTTGAACTCCTGACCTCAATTGATCCATCCACCTTGGTCTCCCAGATACCTGGGATTACAGGTGTGAGCCACCATGCCCAGCTCCTGAAGTATTTATATGTATCATAAATATAAGTGTTTTTGCTTAGAGTTTATGATGTAATTTAGGCCACACAAAGACCTTTTACGGCTTTTATCTAGTCCTTACCTGTATTCTCCTTAGATAAAGATAGATAAGTTATTTTCAAATAAGGGAAGTATTACTAAACATGACTATTTTGTAAATACGAGATTTCCAAATGTAGCACATTAACACTGAGAATAAATGCACAGATTCATCCAGTTTGAGCAAGGACCTTATTACACAGGAGTTGTCCTTTTATGGTCTCTGCTATTCTCAGTGGCTATTCTAAATGCTTACCTGTGCAGTCACCCCTGAATAGTTTGTGGGAACTCCTCTCTGCATTTGGTAGGGACTGGGTGGGGCTCTGAGTGAACTAAAATATGGGAGCAGGCAAGTGCCTGTGTTGTCACAGCTGATGTCTGGCTCACAGCTGATTATCTTACTCTAATCACTTTCGTTAAACTGGTCCCAATAGTAGTAGATGTGCGTTTGTTTCTTCACGATTATAAGCAATAAAAGGCCAACTGGCTCGGCAGTAAGAAGTCCAAGTGATAAAGAGCGATCCTAATTTAAATCATTGTCCCTTAAGTTTACAATTGAGAAGGCAGCTTTAAGAAGAAAATAACAATGGAAAACAACTTTATACGTCCTTAGAGACTTTGAACTGTTTTCCAGCCTTTAAGTCCTGCTGCTTGGTTTTGAAAGGTAGTTACATTTACCTTCCAGGGTTTGTTGCTACAACAGCAGTGTTATTTTTCTTGTGGTCCTACCTAAATTTTTCTTTTTGTTCACAGTGCGAGATGAGGACAGAAGCACGACGAAAAAATCTTCTCATTTTGATTTTGCATTATTTAACACGAGAAGGGTATGTTACATTGCAAACATTTACAGAGATAATTCTTCTTTCTCTGCCCTCCACTTTCCCAGATGTGTACTTCTAAATACAATAGACTTTCTTGTTTTAAACAGTTCTATATTCACAGAAAATTTGAGCAGAAAGTACAGAGTTCTGTACACCCCTTTCCTTTTCCAGTTTTCCCTCCCAGTGACATCTGTATTGATGTGATATATTATTGCAGTTGATGAGCCAATACATTATTAACTGAAGTCCGTAGTTTGCATTAGGGTATGCTCTTTGAGTTATATTGTGTTGTGAGTTTTGACAAATGTATAATGGTCATGTATTTGCCAATATGGTAACATACGGAATCTTTTTGCTTCCCTAAAAATGCTGATTCCTCATCCTGCCCCAGCAACCCAGACATGCACTTTTTTTTTTTTTTTTTAAATTTGAGAAAGGGTCTCATTCTGTTGTCCAGGCTGGAGTGTAATCACAGCTCACTGTAACCTCTAACCACATACCCCTGCTCCCAACGTCCCCAGTAGCTGGCACTCCCGGCGTGCACCATCATGCCTGGCTAATTTTTGCATTTTTTTTTTTATAGAGACAGGGTCTTACCATGTTTTCCAGGCTGGTCTCGAATTCCTGAGCTCAAACGATCAGCCCACCTCAGTCTCCCAAAACTCTGGGATCACAGGTGTGAGCCACTGCACCTGGCCTCAGACGTATGCCTTTATTGCCTCATTTACCTAGATATATTTCACTTTTTCAACAGGCCTATCCAGTATATAAAGTACTTTTCCTTTCCTCTACACACTTGAAGACGGCATAATAAAGAGGTTTTTCTATAGTCCCACTGGTAGCTGTATACACAAAGATAAATCTCTTAATCACTTTTCCTTTCCTCAAAATAAAAGTATTGCATTTACTTGGACAACCTAAGCCCAGCTCTCTTCTTCGCAATACCCATTCTATAACTGGCAGGGAGAGGAAATTTGAAAACTTTTGGGTTTGACCACCTACCTCATTAAAAACACACAAGCAATTACAGTAAGGGCTGCTGCTACTGTGCTGGATGGTATAACGGGAAGAGAACTGGTCCGCAAACTGTTGGAAGGACACGTCTACTTCATATTCTCTTATTAAATTTCAGCCAGGAAGAAAACATTTAGGTTTCAGACTAAGAGCATACAAACTTTTTCTTTTACAGACGGGGTCTCACTCTCTTGCCTAGGCTGCATGATGATAGTTCACTACAGCCTCTAACTCCTGGGCTCAAGGGATCCTCTTGCCTCAGTCTCCCTAGTAGCTAGGATTTACAGGCACATGTCACCATGTCCAGCTAATATTTAAATTATTTTAAGAGGCAGGAGCAATTATTTTATTGCTGTTGCTCAGGCTGGTTTTGAACTACTGGTTTCAAGTGATCTTCCTGCCTCAACCTTCCAGTCATTTGAATTAGGGCTTTAAAACTTTTGAGTTAGAGCAGTTGTTCTCATTCAGGGTGACTTTACCCCTTGGGGGATATTCGACAGTGCTTAGAGGTCTTTTTGCTGTCGCACTGGCACCTAGTGGGTAGAGGCCAAGGAATCTGCCAAATGCCATCTGACGCACAGGACAGCACCATAATAAATAATTATCTGGCTTCAAATGTCAACAGTGCCAAGATGGAGAAATCTGCAGTTAGAGCAAGAAAAACCAACTTTTGATATTTTCACAGAAAGTCTGATGAGCATCTTTTCCTTTATTAAATATGGCAGCTACTAGTGAAATAAGGGAGCTACTGGAACTAAAAGCCAGTTTTGAGACTCCAGTGAACCTAGTCCTAGAGAAGTACAAAGGAAAAAGGAGGGGCGGGTAGGAGGCAGCTGACAAGGAACTGAGAGTTCCCGTTGCTTCTCTCAGCCATGCCAGCCTCTGTGGTTTTTAACAAACCTATTGCCCCCTTGAAGGGAATGGCCATTGTAGAGACTTTGAGGTATTTTTCTCTATATTTTATAGTAGATATCAGGGTATCTATCTTATGCTTGAAGACTTTCAGTCTTCAAAGAGTCAAAGGTTGTGTCAGGAGGCCACCTGGGTCTAAGTGGGAGAACTTTCCAGGCTTGTCCTGACCCAAAAGCCTTCCAGGGTCTTTATTTGTCTGCTCCAGTGTTGAAGATTTGCTTTTGCTTGAGGATCACATCGGAAAAATCATAATGTGTGTGGGTCATGTTTTCTGAGGTTTTGTTTTGAGTGACGATTTTTGTTTTGTTTTGTTTTGTTTTGTTTCGTTTTGTTTGAGACAGAGTCTTGCTCTGTTGCCCAGGCTAAAGTGCTGTAGTACAGTGGTGCAGGCTCAGGTCACCAAAACCTCTTCTTCCCAGGTTCAAGTGATTCTCCTGCCTCAGCCTCCTGAGTAGCTGGGGTTACAAAAGTCTACCACCATGCTGGCTAATTTTTTAAGTAGAGACGGGGTTTCACCATGTTAGTCAGACTGATCTTGAACTTCTGAACTCCGGTGATCCACCTGCCTCAGCCTCCCAAAGTGCTGGGATTATAGGTGTGAGCCACCATGCCCAGCCTAGAATTATGATCTTTTAAAGTTTGTTTTTTTGTTTTTGTTTTTGTTTTTGTTTTTTAATTCCATGACACAGCCCTTAGGAGATCCTGAGAACATGTGCCCCTAAAGTCTTTTAAAGAAAATGAAATCTCTCCAATTGCACTTAAGCATTTTAAAAATTATTTATGTCATTAAAGGATCTGGGGTTCTCTTTGTGGGCTTTTTCCCAAAATTTCAGGTATATGCATTTGGTAGTCAATTACGACACTGCACCTTTGAACAAACTTTGTTATTGAGTAATCTGATTTATTTTCTCCCCTTGACTGACCATGTAAGCTGTTTAATTGCAAAATGTAGCCTTCCTCCTTCCTCATAACACTTTAGTATCAGAATTTTGAGAATGACTTCCTTTTGGTAAATACAATGAATTGCAACAGTTTAAACACAAAAACATTTCTTACTCACCTTGAAACACATGATTTTTTTTTTTTTTTTTTTTTTTTTTTTTTTTTTTTTTTTTGAGACGGAGTTTCGCTTTTGTTACCCAGGCTGGAGTGCAATGGCGCGATCTCGGCTCACCGCAACCTCTGCCTCCCGGGTTCAAGCAATTCTCCTGCCTCAGCCTCCTGAGTAGCTGGGATTACAGGCACACGCCAACATGCCCAGCTAATTTTTTGTATTTTTAGTAGATACGGGGTTTCACCATGTTGACCAGGATGGTCTCGATCTCTTGACCTCGTGATCCACCCGCCTCAGCCTCCCAAAGTGCTGTGATTACAGGCTTGAGCCACCGCGCCCGGCCGAAACACATGATTTTATTAGACACTTCTCTTTTTGGTGTTCAGAGAAATACATTTTATTGAGAAAACAGCTCATTCTTCCCACAGCCCCACCACTCCCAGACTAGAGAAATGAGTGTGCCCACCCCATGGTTAGCAGACAGAACGGTCACTTCTCAGTGTAGGCTCAAACACTGTATCTCCACAGAATAGTGGGGTGATATCAAGCCTCGGAGCAGGGCAGGGCTGACTTTGGTCCTTTCCATGCCTCTGTTTCTCCATCTGGACTATAAGGGCATTTCTGAAATTGACAAGCCAGACAGTCTGCATGTTGGCAGTAGGCTGCTCTGCTCTATTCGCCCGACACCTAATAAATGTAACCCCCAGGGTAGCATATGAAAAAGCACCAAGCGTCCACTCTAAGGCAAGGCTGTGGGGCTTGTTGTCATGGGGGGGCTTCTAGGATATGCAGATAGACTTGGGAACCAGACTGTTTTCTTTCAGATGCCCACTCTTCTTTTTGCTATTCTGTGATCTTGGACAAGTTACTTATTCTCTTTATGCTTCAGTTCCCTCGTCTGTAGAATGGAGTAATGGGGTATAGCTAAGTATCAGGTAGATGCCATTATTAAGAGGATTAAATATGTAACTTGCTTAGAATTGTGCCCAACAGTTACACTTATACTTCTACTATTGATAGGATTTGGGTTTTATTCTCTTAATAACCAACTTGGTTTAGCAAAGAACTTAAAGAAATTGGAATGTGGGTTTGGCCCATTTTACATTAACTTTTGCTGGAATACTAGCTCTATCCAAAGAATCCTGAGTTAAAATACCTCAAAGTACTTTTCTAAGTGTGTGCAACACTTGGAACAGTAGTTATCAGAGTGTTAACAGGTGTTACTTTAAGAGTTTCGTGATCAGGTAAGCTTGGCAGATATTGGATTCAACTAAACAAGTTTCCTTATTTCAGGACTTCTCGGACCATCTAATTTTCTATGTGCAATGTAAATATCACACTAAAGTCACAGTATTCAAGGTCTTGCAAACCAATTTGACCAAGGTTTTTCCTGGGGTTTGAAGTTCTTGTTGTTTTGGAGACAGGGTCTCGCCTATCGCCCAGGCTGGAGTGCAGTTGCCTGATCATGGCTTACTGCAGCCTCAAATTTCTGGGTTCAAGTGATCCTCTCACCTCAAACTCCTGAGTAACTGAAAGTACAGGCATGTGCCACCACACACGGTTATTTGTTTATTTATTTATTTATGTTAGAGATGGAATCTCGCTATGTAGACCTAGCTGGTCTTGAACTTGTGGTCTCATGAAATCCTCCCACCTCCACCTCCCAAGTAGCTCGACTGCAGGTACATGCCACTGTGGCTACTTTTTGTTTTGTTTTGTTTTTTGGTAGAGATGAGATTTAGCCATATTGCCCAGACTGGTCTGGAATTTCTGGGCTCAAGTGATCCACCCGCCTTGGCTTCCACAGTGCTGAGATTACTGGCATAATCTCAGCACTAAGGAAGTGGCCTAAGGAACTCCTGGCCTAAGGAATTCCTTTTTTTCCCCCATGAAACCATCTTTAGAGACTAGTTTTCCACAGATCACTTTGAGAATGCTGCCTTCCTGGATTAGTTGCCTGTTATAAAACTTAAACTCACCATGCCAGGGCCCAGTACTGTGAACATAGTATTAGATGCTCAGTAAATGTTATTTGCATAGCCAATGAGGAACTTACTAGAATGTAGATGGGTAGAATAATTAGAAAGTAAGACAAAACCATTTTCACAAATAATCCCTGATTTTTTATTACAATGTATTTTGTGTTCCATAAATTGTAACAGAAAGAAGAACTGTAAAAACAAAAAGACAGACGAATAAAAGTCACAGATGTAGTTGTTAAGGCCAAGAGTGTGCTGCCTACAAAGCATGCATTTTTCCTTTCTGCCACGAGGTGGCTCTTTGTATCGCGAATCAGTGAAAGTTCTACTAGAGTTGATCGTTTTCCCGAAACCCTGCTAGAAAAGGGACACATAAGTGGATTATCAAAATGACAGTTAACTACAGGTACTTTTAAGGACATATGAATGTCAGTAAAAGAGATCTGCCTTAATGAAGTTCTATAAATTCAGCAAGAGGTTAGATTACTATGGATTAAAATAAGCAAGCAGGGAAAGCTTTGTAGAGAGGGTGACGTGAGCTGGACTTGAAAGATGTGTAGAATATGAATAGACCACTGTGATGGTGAGGCCATTCCTGGCAGAGGCGCAGAGGAAGAGGCGGCACAGCCTAAGTGGAACAATTAAGTAAACAGGAAGACCAGAGTTTGAATGTGTGAGTGAGAATTGGTGCAGCAGGCAATGGAGGGTCGTGGATGCCGGTTCTTCTATTAATAGTCCTCCATTGCCATCTTCTCAGGCTTGGGTTATGTTAGCAGCTTCCCCGTCTCTCTCTTGTGTCTTGTTATTAAGGCCCACTATTGCACACGACTGCACACTACTTACCGAAAAGTACTCTTCTCTAAAGTCCTGTCCTGTCCCTCTGTTGGTTAAGAATCTCTAGCGGCTCCTCCTGCCAACCACATTGAATTCAAACCTCATTCAAACTCAGTGTAACAGGAAAACACAGAAGCAGTTTTGTTCTTCTGGCCAATTAGTTTAGGAAACATGGGGCTTGCAGTCATTTATTTTTGTAATTTTTGTTTTAGGTAAGGCTTCATGATCTTGGAAAGAGTTCAGAATATAATGTTAAGTTAGTAAAGACTACAAGCAATCTATGGTGCAAGTTTCCATTTTCCATCTTCTTTCTTTCTATCCTTCCTGTCTCTCCTTCTCTCACTTTTTCTTTCTTTCTCTCCCTCTCTCCATTTTTTTTTAAATTTTTTGAGATGGAATTTCACTCTTGTTGCCCAAGCTACAGTGCAATGCTGTGATCTCCTCGATCTTGGCTCACCGCAACCTCTGCCTCCTGGGTTCAAGTGATTCTCCTGCCTCAGCCTCCTGAGTAGCTGTGATTACAAGCATGCACCACCACACCCGGATAATTTTGTATTTTTAATAGAGATGTGGATTCTCCATGTTGGTCAGGCTGGTCTCGAACTCCCGACCTCGGGTGATCTGCCGGCCTCGGCCTCCCAAAGTGCTAGGATTATAGGCGTGAGCCACTGCTCCTGGCCTCTTTTTGTTTTAAAAGTGCATATGTATAAGTATTTAATCATTTTAAAAGTTTGGGCCAAGTGCAGTGACTCATGCCTATAATCTCAGCACTTTAGGAGGCCAAGGAGGCAGAATCACTTGAGACCAGAAGTTTGGGACCAGCTTGGGCTGCATAGCAAGACCCTGTCTCTAAACACACAAAAAAAGGTAAAATAAATAACTGGGCACGGTGGTGCACAACTGTAGCCCAAGCTACTCAAAAGGCTGAGGTGGAAGGATTGCTTGAGCTCAGGAGTTCAAGGCTGCAGTGAGCCAAGATTGTGCCACTGTACTCCAGCTTAGGTGACAGAACAAGACCTTGTCTCTAAAAAGAAAAAAAAATGTTAAAGTTTCTAAAGACAGAGGAAATGTTAGTCATTTTCTCTGAGAGGCAGAATTTTCTTTTGATTTACCAGCATTTTCTAGTTTTTTTCTTAAGTGAATATGTATTACTCCATACTAAAGTTATTCATAAAAAACTGATTTAGTTTTTCTCTCTGCAAAATGGGGAATAAGACATAGTTATAGAAGCATGGTGAAACATGAAAAAATATAGAGCTGATAGACTAGAGTCAAGTGATTGTTATTTGCAGCTTCTTTAAAATTAGCTTAGGAGAGATATATACATTTCAAGGTCATTGAAAATAATCATGGCAACCTCTTTTAAGAAAGTTTATGCTGGGCATGGTGGCTCACACCTGCTATCCCAACACTTTGAGAAGCCAAGAAGGAAATCGCTTGAGGCCAGAAGTTTGAGACCAGCTTGGGCAACATAAGGAGACCATGTCTGAAGAAAGAAAGAAAGAGAAAAAGAGAAAGAGGGTATAATAAAAAAGAAAGTTTTCTCTTTCTACTTTCCCAGATCTAGATTCAAATGAGACAGAAAGAACTCTAACTTGCAGCAGAAATCGGAATCTGGGGTCCTTTGATGAGCTGAATCTGGGATCCTTGGATGAGCTCCTGAAATTATATGCTAATTTGCACATGTGCACACTTTTCAGGAGAAAATTGTTGGTTTTAAAAGAAGTTAAGAACTAAAATTTAAAACCTGGAAAGTCTTTCATCTTTCAGAGGATTTTGAGACAAATCCCTTGCTTCTTGTGCTAAGACTACTTAAATTGGATAGTTTTGCAACTGAACAAGGTAAAAATGACAGTGAGGAACCAAGGTGAAGGTGCTACTTTTATACAGAAACACCCTGTAGTGCAATGTGTGACTGATTAAAAAATTACCCAAATAATACATTCCAAGTGGAAGTTATCTTATATGAAAGTTCTTTGATGATCTTGATTAGTAGATCTTTGGAACTTCCTTCAGTGCTCATGACCTGTTCATTTGAATTACCTCAGTGATGGCAAATTTGGGTTAAATTTGGGTTTTATCACTTTGCCAAATGTTACCTAAAATGAATAACTGTGAATAAAGCGGTAACCAAGTTTGGGGAAATTCCCATTTTAGGATGCAAATGAGTAAAGACAAATCACAAGATGTTTCTTGGTTGATTTACTTATTTAACTTTTTAAGCACTTCCAAAAACATCCTAAACAGTGGTGACATCACCAGAATAAATATGTAACTTTCAAAGGCAACTGCTCTGAAAGAAATAGTTAAATATACTTAACAACCATTGGGCTCTGTATAGGCAAACCTCATATGCACATACTAGTTTTGGTCTAATGTGCTATATATAGGCTTACTTTTTGTATTACATCCCTTTAGACTTGTAATGCCTGTTAGCCATTATTCTTTTCACCTGAGTTAATTTCTTCTTTTTCTTCTGTGAAACTGCCAGATATATCGATACAGCAAATGCTTTGGAGCAAGAAACTAAACTGGGGTTACGACGCTTTGAAGTTTGTGACAACGTTGATCTTGAAACTATTTTGATGGAATATGAGAGTTATTATTTTGTAAAATTTCAGAAATACCCCAAAATTGTCAAAAAGGCATCAGACACAGGTACATAGCTATTTTCTAGAAATAAGCCTTTATCTCATCTGTAAGATTAGTGTTTCTTTCTCATCTTATTCCCAGATAGATGGAGACCCTCACCCTGCACCAAAAGCGTACACCAAAGGATTGTGTGGCCATCCTCACATCCAGCACAGACAACTGCAATATGATCATCTGGACATTGACATCCCTTTAGTCATGTTGGCATTTGTCTGAGGAAATGCATTTTCAGGCAATAAAAGCAAAACCCCAGTGTATCATAGGTACTTTTCAGATAATTAACATTACTTTTAATCTCTTTTCCTTTCCTTTCCTTTTTTTTTTTTTTTTTCAGAAGGAGTCTTGCTCTGTCACCTAGGCTGGAGTGCAGTGGCACGATCTTGGCTCACTGCAAACTCCAACTCCCTGGTTCAAGCAATTCTTCTGCCTCAGTCTCCCCAGTAGCTGGGATTACAGGAGTGTGCTGCCACACCTGGCTAATTTTTTGTATTTTTAGTAGAGATGGGGTTTCACCATGTTGGTCAGGATGGTCTTGATCTCCTGACCTCATGATCCACCCACCTCAACATCCCAGAGTGCTGGGATTATAGGCGTGAGCCACCATGCCCAGCCTACTTACGTTTTTTTTTAGAGATGAAAAGAGCTGTTGGAAGAGGATAAATGATAAAAGACTTTTTCTTCTTAGGAGACCTATTGTCTATTTTGAAAATAACTATGAAAATGAGTATTGGGGAAGCTAATAGCTCATGTATAGATAATGAAATGCTTTTGAAAGCCATCAATCCAGATAATGATCAATATAATACAAAGACCCAGTATAGGTTAGCAGTCAACGAGGCTGGCTGGAGGAAAGATCTAAAGTGAGGGCCCTGTGCTTTGTAGTAACATTGACTGAGAAGTCTGTAAGTGGGGGAAGTAATTATAAACCAAGGGAGATCATTGTCCTGTTTACAAGGCACTTGTTAAGCCACAGACTTTAACATTTCATGTAGGGACCGGGAAACCAAGAGGAACATCAATTTAAAATAGCCGGGGCCAAATCTCAGAGCCAGAAAAGGTCAAAGAGGTATTTTGTCTGAGCTCCCTTCCAATGCAGCATTCATGGGTCTTGTAGAGAAAGCCCAGACTCCTAACCACAGGGTGCTCGGCACTGTTAGTGACATGATCTCATTTCTAGATGGCTAGTTCCCATCTAGCATGATACCAAAATTCTCCTATGATATTGGACACATTATTTTTATTTTAACTAGCAGAGTATGACTTAAATATTCCCTGCCAGATTTGTGCAATCATCCTGGTGCCCCATGTAACACAGCAAAATGGTGCCAAGTTCGTGAAAGCGTAATGAAATGGTAGCTGTAAAGCTAGCCTATATTGGAGTTGCCACTACGTCCAGTCTTCAACACATTTAATATCTGAGGCCTTTGCCATCCTTCTCTGTGAGGAGATGCTTGAGAAGCTCGGGCCTCTTTCTCTTCACTGGTAATTTCGGTTCTCTCTACATGAGAATAGCTTAAAGTCTCTAGATTTCAGTTGTCTATAGCACAAATTTTAAGAACAATGCATAAAGGGGAAACCTACTTGAGAAAAATCACTTTGTCACTCTTAAAATTATTTTCTTTTCCTCCCTGTGTTTGTTCTGTCACAGCAGAAAATAATTTACCACAAAGAAGTGGAGGGAAGACCAGAAGGTAAAGTGAATGGTAATTATCTTAGTCAACTGAGCTAAAGGAGCTTGTGGGATCCCTTTCCAGAACCTTTGCCAGCACAGCTCCGTGACTGTCTCCCAGCAATACTGACCGCAGTCATGCGACCTGGCCCAGCCCAGGACTTCTCTCTTTACAGCTGCTCCAGATTTGGGCCAGTGTCTGTTTATTCTCCTGGTTTTACTGTAAATAAGCGCATCCTGTGATGCTCTGTCTTTCCAGAACATGTGGTATGAAAAGTCTGAACCTTAGAGGTTAAAAGATCAGGTTCAATTCCTGGCTCTGCTGTTTACAAGTATGGAGCAAGTTTGGACACAGTTCCTGGCACACACTGAGCACCCAAGAAATATTATTTTTCTCTCTTTTCATCATTTAGTTAATTTCAAGCACTCCCAAATCAGATGTCCTGACCTGTCTAAAGATCAATAATGAGCCAGGAGGTACGAGCTCACGCTTCTGCCCTCGCTAGTCCTGGCCTGCGGGGAGCCGTTCTTCTCTCGCTTTTCCCTTCTATTCATGGCTCATCATGCATTCCTTTCTCCAGCTTCTCAAGTCCAAATCTCATTTGGGACTTGTAGCCTCTGATGGGAGCCCCTCTTTCTTTTGACCTTTCTGGGTACACACGTTCTCTCACAAGGGCCCCTACTCTTGCCAGTGCCCTTCCCATTCCCCTCTCCCCACTCCCTACCCCAGAGCTGTTCCAAAATACCCCGGGGTACTAGGGTGCTGCTGCTGGATGCCAGTGAGGGCCAGCTTTGGGGCATCACAACCTGTGGGCTGTTGCTATTACAGTAGAGCCTAAACCTAACAGGAAGGCTAGAGTAGGCTTCCTGCAGGGTCCACACAGCCATCCAGGCAGTGAAAAAAGTGTTTAAAATCTTAAAATGCTCTTGGAAAAAGAAAAGTTAGATTGTAATCACATGCAACTTACTAGGCCCTCAAGAGGTAGGGATTCTGTCATGCCCCCACTACATTCCCTGCTCCTGAGACTCCAGTTCTCTTGTTCCAGCCTCAGAAGGGAATAGGACAGCTCACAGGGCTGGTGGACACAGCTTGCAAAAATGGCTGAGGAGCCCACGAATGCTCCTCAATCCTACTCACCGTAATACTTGGCCTCGGGCTACCTTTGCTTTGTGCTGTTGTGCAGGAAGAGTTTTATTGCTTTGACAAAAGTGGTATTCTTTTATTTATAGTTTCCACAAAGCTAGTCAGACTCTGGTAATAAATGATAACTGCTTGTGCATAGAAATTGTGAGGAGCATTTGAGGCCAGCTTCGGAAGGCTTTTGGATTCTGATGATTTTTCTGGAACCTTCTCAGTATTCTTCTCTGGCAAGTGCTCTGTGAGTGAATGGCGTTGGGGTGCTTTGTTCCCTTTAGGGTTGGGGCACGTGGCACATTTGACAGTGTGGGGGCTCCTCAGCTCCTCTCTGAGTAGATGTTTGTACGTGGCAAGCGTAAAGGCTGAATAGCAATTGGTTAGAGTCAGGAGGAATAACTAGGAAAGTAATGAATGGTGTTTCTGCAGACAATTTTGTACTCAAATACAGTTACTGAAGTGAGACATATCACGAGACTGGCTATATATTAGCAAACCAAAGTGTCTTTTCCTAATCTTGGAAAATCCCCGCTTAAAGATTTACTGATGAACCAAAGGAGGAAAGGTTATCCAATGTGATGGATAACAGAACTTGGATCTCAGAAGGTCTTGGCAATTCCAGAGATGAGTTCAAAGTAACAAGTTGAAATTGAATAAAATAAGGCTTAAGCTTGAACAAGAGTTACCACAAATAGCTCCTTCATTACAAAATTAGAGACCTAGAAATCTCAGTTTACCTGGGCCAACAGTGTGACAATGCTACTGTGGTCCCAGCCCCATCAATAGAAATACAGCGTCCAAAAAGTAGGAGGTCAAACTATTCTGGAAGGTGACCAGGATGAGGAAGAATCTGGGAGCCAGGTAACTTTAGGAATGACTAGAGCAACTGGAGATGTTGGGCTTGAACAGAGGGTTGGTGGAGGGGGCCTCCTTAGAACAATGCAGGAGCAGGCTTCAGTTCACCCTCTAAAAGGCGATTAGGCCCTCTCTGCAGAATTCCACAGGGTGCATCTAGGACTAGTGGTTAAAGTGAAAGCAGAGTGAATTTGGTTCCATGTTCAGAAGAATTTTACAATCCTCAGAGCTGATTGAAAATGAATTGCATTGCTTTGTCCATTAGTGCTCTTGTGTTTTGGTCATGTTAAAGCAGATCTTATGCATCAGTTGCATCCAATGGGAAATCAGTGTGGGAAAATAGAGTCCCTGTTTCCTGCCAGCTCCACAAGGGGAGTGAGGATGGTGAGGCAAGTTTAAGTACACACACACACACACAAACACAAACACATAAACACACACACACATGCCCAAACACATATATATATAACTTCCCTTAAGTCAACACTATTCATTAATATAAATTTGCATTTGTAAAATGCTTGGTTTTCATTTCATAGATATTTCATTTTTGTGCCAGCAAAGGGCTGGAAAAAGACATTCTTATTCCAAGTTTAAAGACAGAAAAAAGCACCGGGCGTGGTGGCTCATGCCTGTAATCTCAGCACTTTGGGAGGCCGAGGCAGGTGGATCATGGGGTCAGGAGTTTGAGACCATCTGGGCCAACAGAGTGAAACCTCATCTCTACCAAAATACAAAAATTAGCTGAGCATGGTGGTGCATACCTGTAATCCCAGCTACTCAGGAGGCTGTGGTGGGAGAATTGCTTGAACCAGGCAGTCAGAGGTTGCAGTGAGCTGAGATCATACCACTGCACTCCAGCCTGGTGGCAGAGCAAGACTCTCTCAAAAAAAAAAAAAAAAAAAAAAAAAAAGAAAAGAAAAAAGAAAAAGAAAAAAAAGCACCCCAAGAACTGTTAGTGTCCACCTCTCGTGAGGCTCCCTGCAGTGAGCCCAGCACTCACAGAGGTGTCACCATGTGGACATTGGTGGTATTGTCGACATGGGTGGTCTTGCTGGCCAAATAGCTGTGCATTTATATTAGACGTGTACATTTATTACCCCATCAAGAAAAAAAATTGAAACAGCAGCTCTCTGAGATCACTCTGAACACGAGGAGACATGCTTCTAGAGGACCTTCTGCAACTGTTTCTCACGTACAGGGACAAAAGAACTAAGAGAACTAAGCAACAATGGCGGAGTTCATGTTCTGCCCCCCATGCTAGTCCTGTCTCTCTGGATGTCATCTTCTATGGGAAAATACACATATTCCAATACTGAATTTTATGTCTAATTATGAGGATGTAGTGAAAAAAATTATTTGATCTTTCGATGGATATCTAACATATATACAGTCATACCACATACAGGTATTGATCGACTTATGACCTATGCAACTTACGACCATTCGACTTTACGACTGCAATCGCTAGCCATGACTGCTCCACGTCTGGCAGAGCAAACGTTGCCCAGCTGGGCGTACGACAGTGAGGACCAGCTTCTGGCAGCACTACCATCTCCGCGTGCACCATTTCAACTGTACATAAAGCCTACTCAACTTACGACCAAAATCGTGTTACGACCGTTTCGCGGTCCTGACTGTGGTCGTAAGTCGAGCACTGGCTGAATATATTACTATATCTATAGTAAATGCATCTACTCTTGTAACCACAGTTGCAGCCACCAGGAGGCTCTCTTTGCCCCTTCTCAAATTCTCCCCATCTCCATCACAGTTAGCTACTCTCCTGACTTCCAGCCCCATCAGTTTGTTTTGCCTGAAGTAAACAATTGTTGATGAAAATTTGTTTGGCAGCTATGATTGGTCTGGGATAACATTGATGAGGGAAGGTTTGTTTGCTTTGTGAAATCCCCTTTTGACGTTTATTACACAGAGCATGCTGAGAGGTATTTTAAGTGGGCAGGGCACATCCAGGACACTGGATTAAAACCATGGGCCAATCCCTGGATTTCCTACTGTTTCTTAGTTTGAATGGGAGAACCTCTTTCCCTCCCCCACACCTTTCCCCTCGTCCGATGCTGCTTTTAAGGAAGGTGGAAGGAACAGTGGAAGAATGCTTGTAAAGCAATGTGTTCTTAAGAACTAAAGCTATTTGCAGAAGGGCTGAAGCTATGTGATGTGAAAGAGAAATGAAGAGGGTGAGCTGGGGGGCTCCAGGAAGGGATCTTAGAAGAACCCTATGAGTATCCTGGAGGGAGTTAGGACCAGAATGAACCTGGTGGGGGGATAGCGTAGGTGGAAGGGCCCTATAGTGGCCACCTGAGTATCTTTCCATAGCTTTCTTAAATGTGCTGTTCTTAAGAACAGTTGTTAGAATTAAGTGGCTAGAATAATTTCTTCCAAGGTCTTTGTTCTCTCCCTTAGGGTGATGAACGACAGTTGCCAAAATCTTCCCAAGATCAGTCAGCAGAGGCCCCGCTCTAAAACCACGGTGGGGAAAACAGTGGACACCAAGTCTCTCAATAAGGAACATCCTAATCAGGTCAGGTTGGCTTGTCTTGTCTTTGGGAATAGCAAACTTGGCTGAAAAAATAGCTCTATGAAAAAAGTCACATTTATTTAATTTTTGAGGGCCTATGTTGCGGTGTGATCTAATTGAATTCTAGGTTTTTTTTCTAGTACACTGGACTAAAACCGTGGACACATCCCTAGATTTCCTAATGTTTTTTAACTCGAGCAGGAGGACTTTTGTCTCCTTCAAGTCTTTCCCTTGTTCTGGGTGTTGGGAGATGAGCCAGGGTGGGGTTGGGGCCCAGTCAGAGCAAGAGAGCCTGGTTGCTGTGAAGCTTGATCTTCTCATCTGAGGTAACTGAGCGAACCAAGATGGCAGGTCTTCCTGCCCCAGAACACATTGCTGGGTTCCTAAGTGGAGGCCAGGCGTGGTTTCAGGTGTGGCTGGGTCTCTAGGTCTCCTGTTGGGCTTCTCCAAATCGCACATGGTTAGCCCTTACCGCAGGCCTTCACACTGGACTTCATCAGGGCCAAAGAGGGCAGCAAGGAGAGAACCCAGCAGGTGAGTTAAGTCAATGGCTTCTGACTCAGGAGGCTCACGTCCAGAACCTTCTTAGGACAAAACATTCCAGTTTTCAAAGGAAAGAAGACCAATGGAAACTGAGAAAAGGAATGAAAAAAAATTAATGTCAAATAATGGAAAGGAATAATCACAAAACCCGACTGGTCAAAAGGATTCTCTTTCCTCAAGGAGGTTCTACGGTTCTGGCTGCTGTAGCCTGACTCAGACGGAAGAGAGGTGAAGGTGGGGCAGGATGCGTCCCATGGGAGGCTGGCACACTTAATATTCAGCCACTTCTGGCCAAAAACACCTCTGATCACAGGGAAAAAAAAAAAAGCCAGCCAATGGGGTTGAGTTGAGGCACAACTGTTTCCTCCTTTGGAAAAGCTGCTCAAGGCCCATGGTCTGGCACCTTCTCATTCTTCCAGGAACAACAACTTCCACACAGTGCAGGCAGACAGCTCACGCATCTTCCTGGGTCTGCACAAAAATGGTTAAGCTACATGAGCACACCTGCGTTTACAGAGTTGCTATCCAGCGTCGGACTTCGCATGATGGAGTAGGCAGGTACAGCCAGCATCTCTCCACGGCTGCTCACCGCCCATGTTTTCTTGTTTCTCTTTCTTCAGGAGGTAGTTAGTAACAATCGCCTGGAGAGTGCCGATTTTGGCCTAACTGTATCAAGAATCAATAAAGACAGTGGAGAGGAAAATGCCCACCACCCACGAAGAGTAAGTGGAACTCTTGAACCTAACACTGAAAGGGGTAATTATTTTTCTTTTTAAACATAAAAACAAAAAAACATTATTTTTGTCAAACAGGACAGTGAAGATGTGATTTTTGAATGTTGCTGTGAGGTAAATGGAGAAGAGGGTCAGAAAATGGGTTCTTCTCTGGAATCCCTTTCTCCATGCATGATCTGCCATGAACTGCCCCATCTCTAAGGAGCTCAGTTTCCTCATTTGTAAATTGAGGGGCTTGGAAGAGATTGTCTCTAGTGCTCCCATCAGCTTAAAAACTCTGTAATTACAATGACAAACATTGGTGTGATTATCTTGCATTGTTCTCATTTTTTTTTTTTTTTTTTTTTTTTTTGTGACTTGCTCTTTAGCCCAGGCTGGAGTGCAATGGTGCAATCATGGCTCACTGCAGCCTTGAACTCCTGGGCTCAAAGAATTCTCTTGCCACAGCCTCCCAAGTAGCTAGGACTACAGGCATGCACCACAATATTCAGCTATATTTTTGTTTTTCTAGAGATAGTGTCTCATTATGTTGCCCAGGCTGGTCTCAAACTTCTAGCCTCAAGCAATCCTCCTGTCTGGGCCTCCCAAAGTGCTGGGACATCTGCATTATTTAGTGAGTTGGAAACACACACTCATTCTGCTCTGCTTTGTCAGTGGCAGCTGATTACTGGTGTCACCTTTCTCCTTGGAGGGATGGCTCCTGGTCTAAATGTAATTTCATGTGAACCATGAAACATCTGTTGATACAGGGTTGATTTTGTCCTTGATAGATTATTTCTACTTTTTTCATAATCAATCTCATGTCTGGATTTGTCAATAATAATGTCTTAAGAAGAAAAGACCCAGATTGGGTGGATATAGTCAAAAGGTAGACTAAAACATGTGATTTGGAAATGAACAGCGTTTCTTTTGATCATACTCTCCAAGGTTGAATTTAAGAGTCTTCTTTCTTTCTTCAGCCAAGTTCTTAAACCACTGGAGAGCTGACTTAGTTCTGGCCAGGTCGTAGAAAAACTAACACTGTGTGTGTGAATTTGGAGGGGTGACTGGAGCACCTTCCTGAAAATCAAGGGCAGTGACCTCACTGGCCTGAGCTGACTCCCTTTCAGAGCCTCAATTACGTGGTAATTGCTGGAGATGATACCAATGGAATCAATGCCACCCTCTGAAAAATGCTTCCTTGTTCACCTTCACTGCTGCTATTGTGTTTTCAGTCACCTTTGCCTGGCTGTTTTGTGGCATTAGTTTCTGTTGTGAATGCCTCACGTTGAAATGAATGGATGTTTTTGATTGGGTCACAAGGAAGGGACTATTTAACCCAGCACTTAACCTTTGAAATAGTCTGACTATAAATCCTCTTACCAGCAGAAATATCTTCAGAGCCAAATGTAGATGGATTTCTCCCTAGCATTTCACATGTTCGTAGGTTATATGAGGATATACGGCTTGGGACCAATCTCAAAAAAAAAAAAAAACCCAGATCTGTCATCTTTATGTTAGTACCTGTGTCTGTCTGTTTTGCATTGCTATAAAGGAATATCTGAGGTTGAGTAGTTTATAAAGAAACGAGATTTATTTGGCTCATAGTTCCATATGGCACAGGGATCTGGTCACCTTCTAATGAGGCCTCAGGAAGCTTTTACTCAAAGAAGAAGGCAAGGGACCTGGCATGTCACATGGCAAGACAGGGAGCAAGAGAGGAGGGAGATGCCCAGCTCCTTTAACCAACCAGTTCCCTCATAAACTAATAGAGCGAGAACACACTCGTTACTGTGGTAAGAAGACCAAGCCTTTCATGAGAGATCCTCCCCGGTGACCCGAACACCTCCCACCAGGCTCACCTCCAACATTGGCGATCACATTTCAACATGAGATTTGGAAGGGGTACCCATTCTAACTATATCAGAACCCAAGCTTTAGGACACCCAAGCCTCCCTGCAAATTTTAGTAGGTATATTGTTCTTAAGGCCATAGGCTTCAGAGTCAGCCTGTCTGGATTCAAAACCCAGCTCAGATGCTCCCCCAGTATGTAACCTTGGGAAAGTTGTTTATAATCTCTCCAAGCCTCATTTCTCTCATCTGTAAAATGGAAATCATCCTAGTGCCCACTTTAAGCGTCATAATGAAAGGAGAGCCTTGGTACAGTGCCTCGCGCATAATAAACACTGCATAATGTTGGCTACTATTAATGCTTTTTGTGTGCATCCTTGCTTTTTCCCTTCTACCTCTAGGGGAGACAGGATTATGGGTTGGAAGATAGATTAAGTGGGTTTAAATTCTGGATTTAAGTCATTTATTAGCTGTGTGGTCCTGTGCAAATCACTTAACTTCTCTGGACTTACTCCCACATCTATGAAGCCCGGTGTCACTCCTGACTATTGGAAGTGTTATAAGAATTAGAAAAGGCCAGGCATGCTGGCTCACACCTGTAATCCCAGCCCTTTGGGAGGCTAAAGTGGGAGGATAACTTGAGGTCAGGAGTTGGAGACTAGCCTGGACAACATAATGAGACCCCATTTCTACAAAAAAAATTTTTTAAAGCCAGCTGAGAGTGGTGGTGCACACCTATAGTCCCAGCTCTTTGGGAGGCTGAGGTGGGAGGATCCCTTGAGCCCAGAAGTTTAGGGCTTCGGTGAGCTATGATTGTGCCACTGCACAACAGAGTGAGATCATGCCTGTCTCTTAAAGAAAAAAACAAAAAGGATTAGAAATAATCCTCACCGGATATGGAGAAAAGGGAACTCATACGTTGTTGTGGAAATGTAAATTTATTACATTTGTACCCAATCAATTTATGCAAATAAAAAATAAAATTTATTAAAAATTTTAAAAATAACAAAAAAGAAATAGTCCTCACAAAGAACTTTGCACACTTATTTTGTGCCCAGCACTCAACAGAATGGAGAACATGCATTATAGTCGTTGGACAGTAACTCTCGTTACTCTCGTTACAGTAACTCTCAGTAACTCTCGTTACTGTTGAGCCAATGAGTTCTTTCTGCATTTGTAACATTTTAAAAGGATGAGACCATACAGGGAAAGTGAACATACAAGGAAGCAGATGGTCTGTGTCAGGAACTGAGAAATACTCATGAATTTTTATTCAAATCCACTTCATTCTGAAAAATGTACTTACAATTTTTTAGGGTGCTCCAACTTGAGGAAATCATCTTGTTTAACACTAGTGCTGGTTCTTTTTAAAGCTTAACTTTAAGTTTGCTCTATATACCAGGGTATATAAATATGTCTTGGTTTAATGACAGTGAGTTATTAAGAAGAGTTTTCTCTTACGTTCTCAGGGCATAAATAACCATTCCTACCTTTCAGGGCCAAATCATTGACTTCCAAGGGCTGCTCACAGATGCCATCAAGGGAGCGAGCGGTGAACTTGCCTTGAACACCTTCGACCGTAACCCAGACCCCTCAGTAAGTGGCGAAGATGTGACATTCATCTTTCAAATTGCCAACATCCAGATGAACTCTGGAAATACAATTTTGAGTAAACCTTGAGGTCAAGTCAAAGGCCAGAGCCACCTGCCATTGTTTTGTTTCACCGAGACCCGTACGTGCCCGGGGTTTCTTCCTAAATTATAGAGCAATATTGTAATGTGAGCCTTTCTGCTCCTCTCATCAGGAACGACTACTGAAACCTCTGAGTGCATTTATTGGCATGAACAGTGAGATGCGAGAATTGGCAGCAGTGGTGAGCCGGGTAAGATCCTGATTCTCAATTCACAAATTTACGGAGGCGGGCTGGGGCTTCTGGAGCTTTGTGGGCTGCTTCTTTTATTAATAACAATAAATATGATCATTTATTTATAAAGTGCCCCCACTTGCAAAGGCACTCATATTGTTTAGAGGCACAATAATGCATGATAAATAAATTATAGAATCATAAAATTACAATATAAAAAGCCCACCATCTCATGATAGAGGCCAAGCAAACTGAGAGAGAAAAGACTTAGGAATGAAGGGACAGGTGAAAGGTTTTATAGCAGAGCCAAGAGTCAAGGAAAGAAAGCCTCTTAAAGAAGAAAAGAGTATGTCTGTATCTGGTTTAAAAAGTCAGAGCCTAGAAATGGAGACATTGGAAGTCTGATGATACTATCATCGAAAATTTCCATGAAGAACACGATTAGCAGGAAAGACTTTACCATCCAGACTACTGGCTTTTCCAGCTTGCACTGTGGAATCAGAAGGCAGTGAAGAATAGGCTTTGGAATTAGCCGACCTGTATTTGATTTCTAGATCCTTCTCTTGCTAGCTGTGTGACATTGGGCAAGTTCCTGGGAAACAGATTCCTGAGTTATAGGATATTTTTCTAATTTCTAATGCTTCTTATTTAATTGAAGACTGAAACCTAGGCAGGCTCAGAGGGGTGTTTACAATGATCCCAAAAATTCACAGCTCCTCTGAGAAGCTAAGGGCTCCTAAGCTGTCTCTGTTCAGCTCAGCAGTTGTTTCTTATGTGCCAGGTGTGTGCTATGGGCCAAAGACACAAAGGTGAACGAGTCAGAGCAGGCTTTGCCCTCAGGAGTGTCTCATCATCCCATGGGCAAGGTTTGCTTTGAGAGCATGAAGGAGGGAGGGGTGGGGAAAGTGTTAGGAAAGAAAACAGGAAATCGCTAAGAGAAAAAGGGGAAGAGGGAGGCTGGGAGGCGTCCTGGGCATAGGCACATCCATGAGAAATTGCAGCTTGTGCACATTTCCCATTGGCCACCTAAGAAGCAGAGAGTCGGGGGAATGGGTGGAGAGAGTCAGAGTTCTGGAGGAAGGGCTCCATGAGCAGTACCCAGGGCTGGGGACATGCCTGTAGAAGATGGGACCTTAGAAAGGCATCCATTGGAGAATGGGATCATCCCATGTGTTTGTGGATAGCTTGTTCTATGACAGTGAGGTGAATGAATAGCAAAGAAAAGGAGATTGGGAGACCAGGTATGAGGTTTTGACCGGTGAGAGGGATGAGGGACTGAGCCAGGCTGCAGTAATGGATGCGTAAGAGAGCAGAGCAAAGTATTTTTTGTACCAACCCAAATCAATAATCTTATTACCAATTTTGCAAAAGGGTAACATGACTATGAGGATAGAACTGTAGAGTGAAAGTGGCCTGGGATGACTCCATCTGGAATCCTTTCTATAGTAGCATGGAAGGCAGAAACCCTACTTACAGGGTTTCATGAGTGGCTCACCACCTCATGAGGTAGTCCTATTGAATTCTGACTGTTAACTTTGGATTGCTATAAGAAGAAGCTGTCAGTTGGGAAATTAAACATTACCTTGTGAAACTCAACTTTCGAAGAGGGCAGGAAATACTTCTGCTATCTATGGATGCCTTGAATACCTAGGAAAGTGAATCTTCCTTGTGTGCCAAGATTTCCCTGAGGAAGGGTGGTAATAAGAATGTGAGTGTCTGGTGGGCCTCCCTGTAGATCCAGGCTCTAAAGACAGAGTGAGGAAGACTCAGTCCTTTCTCTGTCATTCCACCCAAGAATGGATTATACATATCGTGCAAGACCAAAGCACTTGTATAAATACTTTTTCTAGATCAGGTGTAGTGGCTTGCGCCAATAATCCTAACGCTTCGGAAGACTGAGGCGGGTGGATCACTTGAGGCCAAGAGTTTGAGACCAGCCTGGCCAACATGGCAAAACCCCATCTCTACTGAAAATACAAAAAATTGGCTGAGTGTGGTGGTGTGTGCCGATAGCCTCAGCTACCTGGGAGACTGAGGCATGAGAATTGCTTGAACCTGTGAGGCAGAGGTTGCTATATTGCAGCCTAGGTGACAGAGTGAGACTCCATCTCAAAAAAACAAAAACAAAAACAAAAAACTGTCTCTAATAAAAGTGAAAGTTGGCTGGGTACAGTGGCTCATTCACACCTGTAATCTCAATTTCAGCACTTTAGGAGGTCAAGGCAGAAGGATCACTAAAGTCCAGGAGTTTGAGACCAGCCCAGGCAACATAGCGAGACCTCATCTCTACCAAAAATGAAAAAATTATCTGGACATAGTGATTTGTGCCTTCTTGGGAGGCTGAAGTGGGAGGATTGCTTGAACCTAGGAGGTTGAGGCTGAAGTGAGTAGGTGATCATGCCACTGCCCTCCAGCCTGGGCTAAAGAGTGAGACCCTGTTTTAAGAAAAATTAAAAATAAATGTGAAATGCCTATGGTGGAGGGAACTGGATGGGTAGGGAGCAGGGGTAGGCACAAACATTTCACCAGCGTTTAAAAAATGTATTTAGGCTGGGCATGGTGGCTCACGCCTGTAATCCCAGCACTTTGGGAGGCCAAAGTGAGTGGATCACAAGGTCAGGAGATTGAGACCGTCCTGACCAACATGATGAAACCCCATCTCTACTAAAAACACAAAAACTAGTTGAGCATGGTGGCACATGCCTATAATCCCAGCTACTGGGGTGGCTGAGGCAGGAGAATTGCTTGAATCTGGGAGGTGGAGGTTGCAGTGAGCTGAGATCATGCCACTGCACTCCAGCATGATGACAGAGTGAGACTCCATCTCAAAAAAAAATTCATATTTTTGGACCATGTGCATATATTACTTATTTAAAATTATGGCTGGCATGGTGGCTCATGCCTGTAATCCCAGCACTTTGGGAGGCTGAGGCAGGTGGATCGTGAGGTTAGGAGATCGAGATCATCCTGGCCAACATGGTGAAACCCTGTCTCCACTAAAAATACAAAAATTAGCTGGCCGTGGTGGCGTGTACCTGTAGTCCCAGCTACTTGGGAGGCTGAGGCAGGGGAATTGCTTGAACCCAGGAGGCAGAGGTTGCAGTGAGCTGAGATGGCACCAATGTACTCCAGCCTGGGTGACAGAGCAAGACTCTATTTAAAAAAAAAAAAATTATGTAAATATAACGGTAGTTTCCAGATTTTTTTTCTGTAGTCACTCAGAATGACTTTGGAAAGGAAGTTTTTTTTTTTTTTTTCTTTCCTTAAACCTTCTAGATATTCAGTTTGCCCGAAACGGCTCCTACTGAGAAAGGCCCCTTAGTGACTGCTCAGAGATGTCTGGTGAAATTGAAGTTTGGAAACTAAATTAGTTATCAGTAAAAGCTACCTTAATTGATTACGCTAGATGGTTGCTACAGGGCTCTACTCTAAGAGGGAAAAACTGCACTTTCGCTCCGTTGTGGGCTTCCTTGAATTTTGTAGAAGCAATTGCTCCTGCTGGAAGTAAGGAATGATCGCTAGGGAAAAAAGAAAAATTGGTTTCAGAGGAGCATTATCTCTTTTATGCAACAAATTAAGAAAGTGTTTGTGAGATCAAGGAACAAGAGCAAGGCCAGGTGCTGGCTAGGAACTATGTTTCACAGTAAAAGCGAATGTAATTTGAAGGCATATTCTGTAGCTTCTTTAATTTTGGTTATAAATCAACCTGGTTTGCTATTGACTGAAGACAGGCAGAGTCCGTTGTTAGGAGGTTTTTTTTTCTCCCTGGAAAGTACCATGCTGTGTTATCGATGTCTTTTTTAGAGAAAATCATTGAATATTTTCATGGCATGCCTTTGGTGAACTAACCCAAAATTACAACGTATATACGTATATATATCTAATACGAACAGTTTTTATCACCAGTACTTTATATCCTGTTGTAAGTCAAGTATTCTGCTGCTCCCAAGTTTATTACAGCTGTAGAGGAAAACACCAGTTTTAACAAAATGATCAAATGTGCATTGCAGGACATTTATCTCCATAATCCAAACATAAAGTGGAATGACATTATTGGACTTGATGCAGCCAAGCAGTTAGTCAAAGAAGCTGTTGTGTATCCTATAAGGGTAAGGACGGGAAGCCTCTTGGGGGTTATTTCTGTTCAATATCCATTGGACAAGCTGTATGTCACACACCTATCAGGAAGGGAAGGGCAGGATGACTTTCTGTCCACACGTTAAATTTTTGCCTGTGTTACAACGCTTTCTCAACCCTGGAGCACCAAAACCTGGTCCTTTCTAGATCATTTAAAACCATGTTACATATTAGTTCAAGACAGGTGTCTGAGCTAAGTCAAACTTTAAGATCTAAGACTCTATGGTATACATGATTTGTCAGATTGATTCAAATTAGCCTGCTCCCTTAAAAATATTTTACCGTTGTAGAAATGCCTCTGGTAGGGGAGAATCTCTCACTTTGTTTCCACAGATCCTTCCTTTATCCTCCCCACCTACCCACAGGATCATCTGGGGCTTTGCTTCTGGCTGGTTGTGAAGACTGAACAGCCCCTTCCAGGGCAGTGACCAGCAAAGCCAGCCTGTTGCACTCATTACTTATTATTGACACATCTCTGTGCTGTTCTCAAACCGGGGAGAAAAATAGAAAAACAATACTCTCCATGTTTGATTTACAAATAGGGTGATAAGGATGTAAGTGATAATTTAGCTTTTGTGAATAACAGACCACCCCACAACTTAGTGCCTTAAGACAACAATTTATTTGTTTGTAATTCTGTGGCTAGGCAGTTGGGACTGGGCTCAGCTGGGCTGGCTCATTTCTTTTTCTACATGGTGGTATTGGCTGGGCTCAATCACATGTCTGAGCCATCAGCCAGAGTAGCTGCAAAAGATGGAGAGAGTGAAAAGTCTGGGGCAAGCAGTACAGCTAAGATGTCTGTCCATGTGGCCTCTCATCTTCTAGCAGGAAAGCCCACTTCTGCTCACATGGTGGCAGCAGATCCCCAGAAAGAGGCAAGAAAGGGCAAGTTCTAATTCACAAGCATCTTTCATGCCTCTTTTATTTTTTATATTTGCTAGCCTTATATTTTCAAGTCTCTTATATTTGCTACAGTCCCACTGGCCAAGTCACAAGGCCAGGCCCAGATTAAAATGTTGGAGAAACAGGTTCTACTTCCTGATGAAAGGAGTGACAGATAATTCGTGGCCATTTTCTGTAATCTCCTGCTGTCAGGATTACTCATTTATTTTATTGAATAACCTATTTAGTCTTACCACGGAGCCCACATGGCCCCTGAGTTTTGGATGCTTTTCTCTAAAAAGACAAAATCAATACATTTGGAGTCTCTTTCCCCGCTCTTTCTTTCTGTGTTCAGACTTACGGGTAAGAAATACACTGGTGTTCAGAATTAATGGCAATTTACTCACCTTTTCCTCTAAGTGGAACTATAGCATAAAACATTTAGAAAGGACAGAATATCTCAATGAAATTCTCTGGATTTGTTCTCTCTATGGCATTACAAGCTCCATATGTGTTAAGATTTGGCATCAGGATTAGCAAGAAACTGACAGCCAGTTGTAATTTTACTAATATTCCTTGCCACACCCCTCTCCCCCGTTCTCTACCAACCCTTCCCACCCATCTTCCCCAGACTGTTTGAATTTGAAGTAATGGGAGAGACTTACTGAAGGCTATGCATGTCCTGTTCAGAGTTAGTGTCTCTTGATGCATTTGCCCCTGAATACTCCCAACTTCTAAAACAGGTTTCCCCATAGCTCTGTACTTTATTCGAGTAAATGTTTATTAGTTGGTTCTAGAATGTATTTTAAAATTCATACCTGCTTTACAACATTCAAAAGATTGCCAAATGCTCTGCATATAGATGTCTGGGGAAAGTGATGTTATGCATGTAAAAAATAACTGTTATAACAGAGAGGAAGAGTACCTACATATACCTTTCTTTTCCTTAAAAAATTCCTCTTTTAAAAAGCCACAAAAATTAAGTCAGGCATTCTAATCGAGGGTGAAAATAAAATTGGGATGAATAAGATCTGTTTATTTAGGTCAGAGGCAGATGACCTTAAGCAAAAAAGGGAGCCGTAATCTTAGATCTGTGCTGCTTTTGCTCCAGCTTTCCTGGGTTGTCTGTGCTGAGAATATGCAGGTTGATGTGTCAGCACCAAACCTCATCCTTGTTCCTTGTTTCCGTAGTATCCCCAGCTATTTACAGGAATTCTTTCCCCCTGGAAAGGACTACTGCTCTATGGCCCTCCAGGTAAACACAGCTTCCTGTTTTGATGTCAGTGTTAAATGTGTGCGCAGAGGATGAGTTGCTCCTTCTGTCCTCTCTTCAGGACTGGGGTGCATGAGAGCTGAGCAGCCACTCCCTCGTGTGTGAGACTGACTTCTGTCTGTAAGCAGGGGGATGGAGTTCATGGAGTTGAAATGCCTGCTCATCTTTTATGTGTCTCCCCCTAGGTACAGGAAAGACTTTACTGGCCAAAGCTGTGGCCACTGAATGTAAGACAACCTTCTTTAACATTTCTGCTTCCACCATTGTCAGCAAATGGAGAGGGGATTCAGAAAAACTTGTTCGGGTAGGAATTCTTAGTTTTGTTTTTAAAAATAAGTTCTAGTATAGTACAGCGGTACAAAATAATGTCAGAACTGCTTTGCTTTTAGGTGATTTTATGTTAGATTAAATCCTGGGTCTTGATTACCACCAGCTTGGGAAATGGATTGACTATTACATAAGGTTGTTAATTGTGGCCCCATGAGCAAAACATGAGCTCCTTTCCTTTGGGAATTTGATCAACAGCTCTTTTTTGATTCATGCAATTTAGGCATGAAAGCTGGGGAAAAAAATCTCTGGCGTGGCATATTTTTTCTTCATTCAAGAGGCATTTATTATTTAACATGTACACTATATTTGGTTAACATTCATTGAGAAGCTACTACTGTATGTTAGTCCCTGTGCTAGATACTCTAAAAAAGAATCAAGAAACTTTAAACTTCATTATTTTTTCAGATGTTCTGAGCACCTTTGCTTCCATAGTGCCCATAGCCTGTAAGATTTTTTTTTGCTCTCATTAAGAGGTTGTTTCTATCTTTACAATATCACATTTATAGTTGATGTTGTATCTTATATTATAAAATAGTACTGAATCTTCCAATGACAGTAAGAGCACTTCTATTTATGGTTTATGTCCCAGTGTAAGATGGGTCCTTCTTGGGAATCCTGTTAAACTATCACAGTCGGTAGAATGGCAGATACCTAATCAATGTAAGTGAATATAAAATATTACATATTTTCCGAAAAGTGATTAATAAATTATGCTCAAATTACACTCCCTTAGATGACTTTTGAAATATTATGACCTATTTGGAAGGTATAATAGAATATGGTTAAAGGATTGACTTACCTAAAATAACCTAATATTACTTTGATATCATTTTCAAGTTGTTGCAAATATATAAGCTTTTATAAATTCTTATTACCCCTTCAAGATGGTAATTTGTGGAAATTTACATTAATAACTTCTATTTCTTTGCTCATCTTGTGTCTAACTCAGTGCCAGTTCCAAAGATGGGGCTTGAATTTAGCTGCACTTCCAGTTATGGTTCCATGTGATTTTAGTTAGCTGGAGGTTCAGTTACAGTTGACCCTTGAACAATGGTTGACCCTGCAACTGCACAGGTCTACTTATATGGGGATTTTTTTTTCAGTGAAATACTGTATTCACAGGATGAAAAACCCGAGTATATGTGGATTTTCCAGGGTTGACTGTGGGACTTGAGTATGCACAGATTTTGGTACCGGGGAGAGTGTGGGAAGAGCAGGGAGAGGTTCTGAAACCAATCTTCCATATGCCTAGAGACGACTACAGCTGAAATTCATCTAACTAGAATTCTTATCACACTGAAGTTTTTGTTTTGTTTTGTTTTGTTTAACATTTCATTTCTATATGCTGAACAACAACAAAACTCTTAAAAGATACCACCCAGAATTAGTTTAGTTCATCTCCCATCATGAAAAGTGGTGTTTAGAATCACGAGCATAAGACACTGCACGGTGCACCAAGAAAGATGACATACTCTCGGGAAAGGGCTTACCTAGGCTGAAGGGGAAACTCAGAAAGTTTTTCATATCCCTAACAAAGACTGAAGTTACATGGATTTTCTGGTTTAATGTTGAATAGCCAGAAAAGTCAATTAACAAGAATTCTCCATCCTGTGAGAGCCCTGTATTTACTTAAAGTTTTCCTCTGGTTCAATATTATTTCATTAGGATTCTAAGAGTGAAGAAAAGTACTGGTGGAGTGGAAGCAAAAATAAAAATAAATAAAAAAGAGTGAGGAAATGGTTACTTTTCCAATTTTTTCTTCTTCTTGTTCTTTTTTTTTTAAATGACGTCTCTCTCTGTCACCCAGGCTGGAGTGCAGTGGCACAATCTTGGCTCACTGCAGCCTCCGCCTCCTGGGTTCAAACGATTCTCCTATCTCAGCCTCCTCAGTAGCTGGGACTACAGGTGCACACCACCACACCCAGCTAAGTTGTTTTTTTTTTTTTTTTTTTTTTGGATTTTTAGTAGAGATGGGCTTTCACCATGTTGGCCAGGATGGTCTCTATCTTTTGACCTCATGATCTGCCCACCTTGGCCTTTTACTGTGTTTTTAAAGTAACTAGCCTTAAATAAAAAAAGTATAAAAGGATATACAGACTCCATTTCCCCAGAAGTAACTACTATTAACAGTTGCTAGAGTAGCCCTGCAGAACATTTATCTGTTATCTACATTAATGTCAACAACTGTTTCTTTTGGATGTTTTGTTGAGGCAAGGTCTTGCTCTGTCACCCAGCCTCCCAGGCCAAAGTGCAGTGGCACCATCAGAGCTGACTGCAGCCTCAACCTCCTGGGCTCAAGTAATCTTCCCACCTCAGCCTCCCCAGTAGCTGAGACTATAGACACATGCCACCAAGCCCAGCTAATTTTTGTAGTTTTTGTAGAAACGGAGTTTCACCATGTTGCCCAGGCTCCTTTTGAACCCTTGGGCTCAAGCAGTTCTCCCGCCTCAGCCTCCCAAAGGGCTGAGATTGTAGGCATGAGCCACCATACCTGGCTTCTGTTTTTCCAAGTACAAGTAGAGACATACCATTCTTTCCCTTTTGTACCTGGCTTTTCCCCCCACTTACTACATATAACTTGGATATTGTTCCGCAGTATTATAGATGGACAAAGCATGTTCTTTTATTTGTTTATATGGTAGTTCATTGCATGAATGCACCAAAATGTATTTAACCAGTCTTTTCTTGATGGGCCTTTAGGTTATTTCTAGTCTCTTGTTATTACGAACAAAGCTAGAGTGGGCAGTCTTATAGGTACACATGTTTTTGCCTTTATAGTAGTGTAGGACAATTTCTACAAAGTAGAATTGCCGAGTCAGAGGAAATAGACATCATTGATTGCCAGACTGCTTGCCAACAGGGTTGTACCCGCTTATAGTTCCATCAATGGCTCATGAGTGTGTTTGCTTCTCCACACCCTGGCCAACACTGAGTAGCACCAATTTTTTTTTAAATAAACATTTGCCAATCTAATAGTAAAAACTAATAGTGTATTTTAGTGATTAAATGTACATTTCAATATTTCAGTGCTTGAATGTGTATTTCTTTGATTCTGAATGAACTTGAGCATCTTTTGAAAGGTTTAGAAAGTATTTATATCCTTTTGTTACATGCATTTTTATTTTGGATTTTTTTTTTGAGATGAAGTCTTGCTCCTGTCACCCAGGCTGGAATCAATGGCGAGATCTTGGCTCACTGCAACCTCTGCCTCCCAGGTTCAAGAGATTCTCCTGCCTCAGCCTCCCAAGACCACGCCCGGCTAATTTTTGTATTTTTAGTAGAGATGGGTTTTCACCTTGTTGGCCAGGCAGGTCTCCAACTCCTGACCTCAGGTGAATGCCCGCCTTGGCCTCCCAAAGTGCTGGGATTACAGGTGTGAGCCTGGCCACCACTCCTGGCCTATTTTGGATATTTTAAAGAGCAATACAAGAAGAAACAGATAACCTCTGCTAACCTTGAAGGAGCTCATCTCATTTCCTTTCAGAAATTATATCATTTTCTCCTTGTTTTATGAGCTTTTGGGAAGACCCTCAGCTCAGCAATCTTGGTCATGCTGTTAGGCTCCTTACTGTGAAGCTTTCAAATAAAGCAAGCCCTTCAGGACTTTCCCCTAAAGCAGAGAAACTTTTTCTACCGTTTGTTTCTCCTTCTATTCCAATTAAAGAGTTATTTATAGGGAACCATTGGGTTATGTTCCTCCCTCCACTCCTAATGCTCATGCCTCTTAGGAGCTGATCACTACTGAATAGTTGAGTAGTCTCTTTAGCAAATGCATACACCTGTTGATGCTTACGTCTTTCAATGCACTGCCCCTCAGTTGTAAGATTTAACTTCCTCCAGGTTCCTCTGAAAATTTTAGGCTAATGCTTCTAGAAACACTGACCCAGGATCCTGTGTACTCCGTGGGAGCGGAAAGAGCAATGCAATGGGCAGTATGGGAAGCTAGTCTCCAGGTGTGGTTCCTCTTCCAATTGGGTGTTTGGTCTAGCAGAGACTCTTGGTTTCGCCGCCTTTAGCGAGCACCTGAAAAACATGTATGGGTCTAATAAAGGATTCTAATATTTCCTTTCTTATTAGGTAAATTGCCAGTGTTGTGATCACCCTTAATATTAGGTATATTGGGGCTTCTTTGGGTGTGTGTGTGACAAGGACAGAAAGTTATTTGCTCTGAATTAGGTGGTCTCTATTGTATCTGAAAGGCATGTGATGAATGCCCCAGCATTGCCATTGTTCTCTCAGTTCATTAAACTCCGCCAATTGTTCCAATAAAACAATTTTGTGAAAGAGAGATGTTGGTGCATGAGCTTGGATGTACCCACCAGCAGTGGGGAAGGTGAGGAATTTCCCATTTGGTGACAGGGATACCTGTGAGGGATGAGCTGCTGCTGCTTGTAAAACCACAACATGGCTCTTTCAGAACCCTTTCCCTCTGATTCTGTGATGCTTTGCTAGTGCTAAGTGATATGGAGAATAAATCCCTCATGCCTATTAAAGAATCTCTATTCTTTTCTAAATCTCTACTGTTTTCTCCCATCAGCTGGTGAAGGATTGTATATGATGCTCAAGAAATCAGTTTCAGGGTTAAAAAAAAAAAAAAGATTTAGGTTGTTATATTCTATTCATTACTACCACATCTCCCTTTAGAGCTCTTTATTTTGTTTTTATATGTCTGTTCTTTTGCTGGTTCCTTTCCTGTTCTTGTTCAGTCTATAATATTTCATTTTATTCTGGAATAGAACATTGTATTCAATCAAGAACTGCCTTCTGGTACCTGAACCTACCAAGCAGCCTTGTTGAGGCAGTGTGGGAAGGCTGTGGAGTAATTTGGGGAACACAAAGGGGCAACATTTGTCAGCCTTGTTACCATGACTGGAACCCAGTCCTTCCCCTGAAATCCTTTTTTCTGAGAATAACCTCCCATTGTCCCCAAAGTTTAAGGGAAGAATTATCAAATGATTATACATATTCCAAGGCTCTTGTGTCCATATGAAACAGTACTGGCAGAGTGTTTCAAGAGTTAACCAGCTGACTGCAAGCCTTGAAACCAAATTGTATCTGAGGCTCTCATATTTATGATTAGTAACCTTGGAGTAACCACCCTCTCTTTGCCTCTAATTTTATCAAGTGATAAATGGAAATAATTGGACCATCCAACCTCGTGGGGTAGAGGTAGGGAGAAATAATTGTAATGATCATAAAGCTATTGCAAAATAACAGAGTGCAGCATAAATACCTATCATTACAGTCATTCTAAGCTTTTACTCCCTGGGAGCATCTGAGGACTTTAAATCTATAAGCTTGAACATTTCCTTGCTTTTCCCCCACCCAGGTGTTATTTGAACTTGCCCGCTACCACGCCCCATCCACGATCTTCCTGGACGAGCTGGAGTCAGTGATGAGTCAGAGAGGCACGGCTCCTGGGTAATGGCCAGGGTTGGGGTTTTTGTTGTTGTTGCTTTTTGTCATCGTTTCTCCCCTCTTGTAAGTGTGTTTGGTAGTCGGAAGCCCATCGACATTTACCAGCAGAATGAGCCTATTAATAAGCCCACAGATTTTCTGCAGACACATGGAAAGGTCTTTAAAGTAGATCCTGTTAACTGAATAGCTGATTTAAGTAGTTTTTATAACCGGAGGAAATGCCATCCTCCCTTCCCCTGCTCCCCACAGAGTGGTTTTCAGGCCTGAAGATCTTCTAGCCCCAGGATCCCAGGCTGCCGTATGGGTCCTGCTGGCTGAAAATAGCCACTGTGATGGCCTCCTCTGGAGCCCGAGGGGCTGCCTCCCGGGGAACAAGGCTTGCCCACTCAGCCACTGTGCAGGGCCACGTCTGGACTTCACTCCTGAGAGGTAGTCCTCGACGGTGTGTGAAGCCTGGGAAGCCACCACTTCTCTGTGGCATCAGGTTATGGCTCAGCAGGGCTAATTTTAAATACGTCACATATATTATCTCTAAAGATTGAGTGTCACCAAATGTCCTCAGCAGGAAGGAACACTTCTCAGACTGTAATAAGCCTTCTGTTTGTGCTTCCAAACGCCTGAGTAGTGTTGTGCTTTTTGTTCTTTCGTTTTTAAGATCAGCTTTCTGTCTTGATCAGAGGTATTTCCCACTGAAGCTTTTTACTAAATCTGGCACCCCCTGGCTTGAAAAAACAGATCTCTGGGAAATCTCAACACAGCTGCATTTATTAATGACCTTTAATGGTCTATCATCAAGCAGAAGTAATAGTAATAAAAAGCAATTAATTAGCCCATTGGAAGTATAAATAGAATATAATTTATGAAATTTTATTCATTGGAAACCATTTTCCCAGCAGGGAAAACCAACCATAAAGATGTACTCAAGTAATAGGGAATTCATGTAATTCATTGAAACGGGACACTTTCCATGGCTTAACTGGAGCTGGTGCTTGTCAGCCCTAGGCTGGAGTGCTCTGCTTTCTATACCAGGCCTGACAGGAGCAGGCAACTGCACAGGCACCCAGACGAGAATGCACCAGCTTGCTCTCATAGTCACTCTACAAAGACCAGGTCTCCCTATGCACTTGTTTTTACGTGCTTTGTCAATATCCTGTTTCCCACAGCCTTCATCTGGCTAATTAGAAAACTCTTTCTCTGCTGTCCTTGCGTGTGTTCCAGGTTCTGCCCTGAATTTCTGTTTCCTTGTCTGGGATCAAAGACTTTGAACTTAGAGTCTTCAAAGGGTCAGGAAATAAGGAGGGTTGCTCTGAAGACTTCTTTGATCGTATTATGTTAAAGGACTCACAGTTATGCACAAATGCTAATTAAATATATAGCAAATATATGGGCAAATCCTAATTTTATATATTATTACTAATTTTAAGTATATAAGTATATCAGACTCTCTCAGTATATGTGTATTATACATAGTATATATATGTAATATATATAATAAATAAATATTATATATATACTGAGAGACGATCTTCTCTCTTAGGAAAGGCAGTTGAGATTTAAGGGGCATAGATCCTAAAAAAAAAACCATATACCTAGCGAGAGGTATCTTAAACGGGGCTTGTGCCTGAGGTCCCAGCTACTCAGGAGGCTGAGGGTGTGAAAGTACTTGTCTGTGTGCTATGTAAGTGAAAGGGATTATCCTCAATTATGCCATTTTTAAAGAGGTAAATAATGCTGCAGGTAGACACAGTTGGGCTGTATTTAATCTGCCAGTGGCACTTCATACCCTTCAGTTATTTTCTAGCTCACTGCCAGCCTTTGGTTTTCTTTTAAATACCACCATTATATTCATTTACTTGCTTTCCATTATGCTCTATGTGAAAATAACACCAAATTGCTTGTTTTCCCTAACTCTAGTGTGAGTGACTTCATTAGCCATCAGAACAGACACTGTTCTACAGTCACAGGGACGTGGCTGTGAATGCTGCTCTTGTCATGAGAGCAAAGGCTCTGACACTTGGGAGAATCACCTCTTGTCCCTCTGTAGGGGAGAACATGAAGGAAGCTTGCGGATGAAGACAGAGTTACTGGTGCAAATGGATGGGCTGGCGCGCTCAGAAGATCTCGTGTTTGTCTTAGCAGCTTCTAACCTGCCATGGTAAGAGACCAAGAGAGTGCATTTTGAATACATTTTCAGGAGTTACTAAGTACAAATAAAAATGTTATATTGACCACTTCGGGCAAAGCTGTGTGGTTTGGCTGCAGCCCTGGAAGATTAATGTGAAGGCTTTACTGCTCAGATCCCCAGTCCTTGCTGTCTGTACCATGAAAGATGTGCCTTAACAGAGGGAACTCTGGCCGGGGTGACCACTGACAATACGTAAAATGACATTTAGAGTTTAAAGCCAAATTATATAGTATGTTTAAATTAAGTAGGACTTTGGCATAGAACTATAAAATGCTTAAAATCTCCAGGACTCAAAGAATATTCCAGAAATAATATGTTTGAATTTTATAGTATTAAAATTAAACTTTTTTTTTTTAAAGTTAGGAGGCAGATCTCTTTAATGTTGCACAGTAAATAGAAGGTAAATAATCTCTAGTTGAAAATGTTATCTAGGTTGGGCACGGTGGCTCACGCCTGTAATCCCAGCACTTTGGGAGCCTGAGGGGGACGGATCTTGAGGTCAGGAGCTCAAGACCAGCCTGACCATCAGGGTGAAACCATGTCTCTACTACAAATACAAAAATTAGCTGGGCATGGTGGCACATGCCTATAATCCCAGTTACTCAGGAGGCTGAGGCAGGGGAATCACTTGAACCCGGGAGGTGGAGGTTCCAGTGAGCTAAGATTGCACCACTGCACTCCAGCCTGGGTGACAGAGCAAGACTCTGACTCTCTCTCTCTCTTTCTCTCTCTCTCTCTCTCTCTCTCTCTCTCTCTCTCTCTATATATATATATATATATATATATATATATATATATGCCATTTCACATGAAACAAATCACATGTCACAAGCAAAGGATGAGGGTTCCAATTTCTCCACAACCTCACCAACACTTGTTATTATATGTCTCTTTTATTGTAGCCATCTGAATGGATGGGAAATGCTTTTGATTTGCATTTCCCTGAGACTGATGATATTGTACATCTTTTCATGTCTTTATTGGCCAATTGCATATCTTCTTGGGAGAAATGTCTTTTCAAATCCCATGTCCACTTTAAATTTTTTCTTTTTATTATTGAGTTATAAGACTTTTAAAATATATTCTGGATACAAGCCCTCTATTGGATATATGACTTGTAAATAATTTCTTCCATCCTGTGGTCCGTAGTCCCTCCCTCCCTCTCTTTGCTCCTTCCTTCTTTCCTTTCCTTCCTTTCTGTCCTTCCCTCCATCACTCTATCCCTCCCTTGTCCTCTCTATTCCTCACTTTCTTTCTCTCTTCCTTCCTTTCTGAACTTTTTTATTCCTTTTTCTCTCTGCTTTATTAAACTTCCCATGTATATCCCATTTCCCAAGCCTGGGACCTTTCAGAAGACCCTGTACCTGGTTATTCGACAGCAGCACTGTCTATCAGAAATATATTGTGAGGCACATGCATACTTTTATGTTTTCTAGTAACCACATTTTAAAAACTAAATAGGTGAAATTAATGTTAATAACGTATTTTATTGAACACAGTATTTTCAAAACATTATTTTAAAATCAATATACATGTACCCCAAAACCTAAAATGCAATAAAAAATCAGTATAAAAGTTACTGTGATATTGTAGTTTCTATCTTCATACTAAATTAGAAAAATCCAGCATATGTTTTACACTTACATTGCACCTCAGTGTGGAATAGCTGTGTTTCAATATCCAAAAGCCACATGTGGCTGGTGCTACCATATGAGAGAGTACAGATCCGGAGACTCATTTGTCTTCCCTCATGCTGCTGTGGCAGAAATGGACAACTGCCTCCCAACATTTATTTCATCCTTTGAATTGAAGAATAGAATTTCAACTTGGGAGTTCTCTTTCTTAGTCTTCCCCTGCTGTTAGGTGTGGTCAAGGCCAAGTTTCCTTGTTATTTGTGCAGGATGACTCAGGTCCGTTTTGTACATTTTGTTCCTGGAATCAGCCATTTATTCATGAAGCCCTGGTGCCTTTAGTGGGAAATGATATCAATATTTAGAGATCACGGTCTCACAATTAGGCCTTTTGATTAGACAGAGCTGGGAAATACATATCTTTAAAATAAGAGGCAAATAATGGATCCATGCTAGTATTTCCCATTCAAATTTAAGATTACAGAGTTTTAATACATTTCATTTTATATTTGTATCTTTTCTCTGTGAAAATCTCAGTTTTTAGCATTAATATAATTAATATTCACTTTACTCAAATATCTGTAAATATTATACATGTGTGTATATCACAGAGTTTCTCAGTAATAACACCAATACTGTCATGACAGTGACATTCTGATGAGGAAAATGGTACTGACCTGGCCTAACTAAGATGAAAGAATAATGCAGGATTTCTCAGCCACAGAGCTACTGACATTTTCAGGCCAGATAATTCTTTGTGGTGGGACTGTCCTGTGCACTGATGATGTTTACCAGCATCCCTGGCCCTCTGTCCACTAGATGCCAGAAGCACCTCCTCCCCAGCACTTGTAACAACCAAAATAGGTCTTTAAACATTGCCATATGTTTTCTTGGAGGCAAAATCCCCACAGTTGAGGATCACTGGACTAATCTAAGGACTTGATAAACATCGCATAGAGACAAACTGACGTCTATTCCACAGCTAAACTCTCAAGGTTATTATTTAAAAAAAAAAAAAAAACATAAAATAACTGAACTTGGTTTTCTTACACAAAGTGTAGCTTATTACATTAATTTTTCTGTATCTTGATTTTATTTTAACAAAATATCCTGGCAATCTTTCCAAATAAGTACATAAAGTTCTTCCTTACTCCCTTTATAGATGTGCAGGGCTCCGTTTTGTGTATATGATAATTTATCCCACCAGCCACCTAATGACAGGCATTTGGGTTAATCCTGCTCTTTTGCTATTAAAAAGAACACTGCAGTGAGCAGCAGTGGGGAGATCACACTTAGTATATTTGCTAGTCTATCTTTGGGGTAGGTTCCTCGAAGTAGATTTTGCTGGGTCAAAGGGCTAATGCGCATGAAAGTATGGTCGAGCCTGCCAAATCTCCCCTGCAGAGGTTGTACCACTTTGCATTCCCACTAGTGTCCTGCTTTCATTACTTAACATGACAGTAAGAACATTTCCAATGTCATTAAATAACCCTTGAAAATTGGATTTTATAATGGCTGCTCACAATTCCCACACATGAATATATCATCATTCCTTTTTTGTTGAACATATATGATGATCCCAAACTTTCTGTTATAAATAACACTGAAATGAACTTCCTTGCATAAAAATCTTTGACTGAAGTTCTGGCTGTTTCCTTAGGATGGATTTCTAGAATCAGATTACTGTAGCAGAGGGTTTAGATGTTTCTTAAGTCCCTTGTGACATATTGCTGAAGTCTTTCTATGAGAAAAGAGTGTTATTTTTTAGCAAGAATATTGGGACAGATATTTTTCTTGGCTTCAGGGTCTTAGATGAGGGAATAGACTTATCTGATTCAAGCAGTCTGTCCTTCTAGGGGAAATAACTAAATCATACCAAATGATGTAAAGACTCAGTCTTAAAATCCCCAAAGAAATTCCTTACAGTTAGTGGCAGTTCTCATCTATTGCATGTTCCAGGGCACTAGGCTCTTCTTTACTGCTGATTAACTTACCACCATTTTCTCTAGACACATCTATTCTGTCTCAAAGGGGCAATCATTTTCTCCCTTCCCAGCAGTGACAGGTGTGCAGACTTGTTTATTCAGCGCTTCTCCTCCAAAGAGCACCTTCCCCAGTCTATAACATCACAGAGAAGGCCAGAAGAAAGAACAGCTCATGTGTGTCAATTGATATATAAACAAGCAAGGAGAGGAATAACAAGTGCTGCATCTTAAATATTACTGCTTAAAATAATGGCCACGTAAGAAATTTAGTGAACACAGTTAGGACTAATTTGACATCCCTTGATTGTTGAGTATTCACAAGCTCAAGCCTACGAGTCAGGAAACAAAATACTGAACAGGACCATTAACGCAAATGTCATTTTAAAATGTCTGTTTAACCCCCGGGAGTTTGTACAAATAAGGTGTGAAGACTGAATGTATGAAACACGATGAAACTCATGTTTTCCTCGCAGTTTGTAAAAGGGAACAAATCCCAGTAACTCTTAAAAATCAGATACCTGGTATACCAAACTCTGGATTAAAAAATCCCTTAACATTTAGAAAAAAACTTAAGATCCAAGAGATGATTGCACTCGGAATAAAAGGGTTCTTGTTCACTTTCGGGGAAAATCAGCAGAGAAAAGAGCTGTCAGTCAGTAGTGGCTCACCTGTGCCGTTGTCTGGTGACTTGAACTTACTTTTTCAGCCAAATTTGAAACCTGCAAGGGGCAACTGCTAACAGGAATGCCTTTGTGTTATCTATGTTAACCTACTTCTTCCCATATGAACCCTCTCCTGCTGGTGTAACATTTCTGTAGCAATGCATGCATGTGATTGGAGGGATCAGCAGATGTGGCCCTTGTTCTTTCCATAGTAACCATGTGCATTTCTGGGCTCCAGGGAGAAGCTGTGCTCTCTGAGGTCAGGCCTTGTAGCCTTGATTGTGCCCTGAATAGATCAACATTTTTCCAAAAGCAGTCTGCCACAGGTCAGCAAAGATTGTATAAAAAATGAAAGGGAGGGAGGGACGGAGGGAGGGAGGAAGGAAGGAAGGGAGGGAGGGAGGGAGGAAGGAAGGAAGGAAGGAAGGAAGGAAGGAAGGAAGGAAGGAAGGAAGGAAGGAAGGGATTGTGGTTCCACCTCTGGGCTTTCGCACTCACCTGGGTCTAGAATCTGGAAAGCAGTGGCACTCCCATCCCCTTCCCCTTCGGATATCTGCAGGGCTCTGTTGGTCACCTTCAGGTGTCTGCTCTGATGTCATCTGCTCAACATTCCATTTAGAATTAAAACCCCAGCTCCCTATGCTGTGTTCTTGCCTTGTGTTTTATGTGCTGTCACCAGAAGTGATACTAAT